GTGATTTTGGTGTTGTTTGATGCACGTGAAGATCGGTACAAGCTCCGTAACTCACTTTAGAGAGAGTTGATCACGAGCTCCCTAACATTTACACGAGAGTAACAAATTACTTTCCGTAACATCGGAAAAACAGTTATTTATAAGTAATTTATTTGCTTACTTTATGGCACATATCATAGCACATAACTCTTAACATGACGTAAGAGACAACCTCGTCTACTTCGCCACCAAAATTGCTTGTGTTAGCTTTTTGATGATGCAAATGCTCAGCTATCTGCAGCCAGGAATGTTACTTTAGTGCTGGCGTGTGGGTTGGTCGTAGGGTTCTGTCGCAGGATACCAAAGCCCCTGGGCACCAGTCCTTACGGCCGGCTTCAGTTGGGAGCTGACAGTGAGGTATGTATTGGCTTGGGTGCAGGCCCCTCCACGCTCTCGCCCTACGCGAGAGCAAAACTCTCCGCCCAGCGTCGCCAGTGTTGAAAGGTAGCGTCAACATTTAGCTGTGATTGATCCGATCCAATGGGTGTTAAAGCGTAGTCGAGACTGCTCTGCTCACACTGCTCTGATGGAGCTCGGCAGGTGAGGCGTGCTGTAGCACGTCATCCGGTTGGGCACGCTAAGTCCTGGCCCTCCATGATAGACCACCACGTCATAAAGCGTTGTGAGCAGGACAATCACGCCCAGTGGGTTTAAATTTAGATTGACATATACGTCGCAAGAAAGTCACACCCGAATTGAAATGTGGACCCCGTTTTCCAAAGTTCGCCCTCTTAAGCTGCAAAGCTATATTTGAATGTCAATGCCGTACTCTGTGCCTACAAAAAGGTGACTGTGACCAGCATTGACAATATGGCTGGGGTTGCCTGGAAATCACGGATTGCGTGATTAGCCGTTCTTTCGTGTTTTGACCTAACCCAAAGTCACCACGCCACATACGCAAGCCACTACCACATCTGGAGAGTAGAACGACGACGTTGTAAGGAGGAATCGAGCCGATTGTTTGAGAGCACATCTCCTGTCTCATTGCCTTTTGACATTGTCTGTCCCCTCATGCTCGTGTGTAAGACCCTTCCGAGTACTGTGCCCGCTGCAGCGCTGCGTAAGGTGAATTCCGCTCGCTCAGCACCGGTTACATTTTGGCCGGCAGCGCACAGGCTGGCACAAGAATATGGTATGGTGAGGACGCATTTGGTTGCATATTAAATTTGATTTGATTTAATTTTACTCCGTTGTTGATCCATGTTTGTTAATTTAGTGGTTTTGCATGCTAAAACATTTTCAGACGGAGTGTCCTCGACCTAACAGAAAAGATCACGAAATTAGGTCATGCTTCCATAGTTTGAACACCGCTGCCCCTAAAGACTGCTTTGTGGTAGTGCTATTACATTATCCACTGACACACAGTCGATGACCCTCTCAGTATCGCAGCTCCTCACTATTGCTTTGATCTGTTGCCAGTCAAAGGCTCATGCGGTGCGCAAGATTCCGCGAAGGATCGTCGAATCACGAGCGAGATATGTTCCGATCGCGTCACTTACGCCGCGAAGCCCTGATACAGTTAATTATTAACTGTGTCCAATAAAATCATTAGCTATGGAGGACGTCTTGTGGCGCCGTGTCTGCTTCGTGTCCGATGTAACGATACATGTTTTGCGGGCCCTTTGGTAGCACCGAGGCACTCTGTTCCTTCAACTGTCGGCACAGTCAGTTTTATTCTCTGCGTGAGCTCCGCTACGTGTGGAACGGGGACGAGTCCATCCAACTTTGCGAAAATCATCACAACGGAAACTGCAGGGAGAAAACACCTTCGAACTCTCAAAAGTACTAGATCCCCTGCTCATCTGGCACTTTCTCGAGCAATGATGGCGCTCCGGCCTCTGGCGCCGTCGTCGCTCTGCGGTGGAGCCAGTGCGTGCCCCGGCTACCGCTACCCGTTGCGTCCACTCGCTCTGATCGCTCGGTGGCGGAGCGCTGGCGTCGCTCTCCGGTGGAACCGGCGCGTGCCTCGGCTACCGCTACCCGGTGCGTCAGCGCGCCGCGATCGCCTCGAACCGGGCGCCGACCGCGCCCATACAATGGACGGATGTAAACCAGCAGAAGCGCGGACCTGGCCCGGCGCCGTAAATACGGCGCCACGTCTCCCGCCAGCTCGTCCCCGACTGCAGCCACCCTCTCCATTATAAGCCGTGCGGTGTTTAGCTGGGCGGCGCCAGGCTCCGTTCCACTCAAACACAGCGTGCGGTGTGGCCCGCGGGCGGTCCCGCCAACTCGTCAGCGAGCAGCGACTGCCGCAGGGCAGTCAGCCACTCAGGGACGCATGGTGATGACCTCACGCTGTGAACGGATGGGAGCCGGGCGAGGGAAAGAAACATCTTTTAAAGCAAAAACACAGCATTTGCCTTTCACATCCGGATTTTCCATTAGCCATACAGCTCTGTCACACCAGCCCTTCTCGAGCTCCAGCAACCGTGAATTCGTGTAATTAGTGGGTTTCGTACGTTTTGAGGCAAATGGACACTGCATGGACAACACCCAAGCAATGAAGCGCTTGCTTCACATCGTGCAAAAACTCTGTGTTCCTTCGGACACCTTTCCGTGACAGGAACAGCGGCGCTTATTAACAGAGCTGACAATGTTTTTCTATGCTGATGAACCCTGCATTGGTTTGACCAGAGCGGCATTGATCTGGCAAAGCAATAGCGTAAGAGACTGTAACCGACGCGATACCACGAATGCGGCTCAAGGAAAACACCGGAGATCAAACGCCGTGTTCGACTGCAGCAGACGGGGCCGTTGCATGCGGAGCACGTCAGACAGGCGCTCTTGATGCTATTGGGATTAAATTAGCCAGGCGCGGCCGGCATGACGAAGTCCACCTCCACCCGTTTGCACCCGGGCTGGTGGCCCGGCTGTACCGTTTACAAGATCCACGATGAACGGCCTGGTCCGACGCCAGTTCAAACGCGCCCGGGCCCCGGCCCCGGCCGCTGTGGGCCCGTGCAGTGTTTTGTTTACCGCGGCCTCGAGGGACACCGGTGACCTGGCCCTAGAGCGGCTCCGCCCAGCCCGGCTCAATGTCGCGCGTGCTCCCGGCCGCTCACGCAGCCCCTATTTGGGTGGGCGGCTGAAGGGGCTGGCGCACGAGCACAAAAGGCTGTCACTGCGGCCCCGCGTGCGGCGGCGCACGCGCGAGCGGCGCGGAGCCGCGACTGCCCACGGGACTCGAAGCAGCGCCAGTGTCAAATGACTGCATGTGGCTGACCCGCAGCGTGTGTTAGTGGTTTGTTAGGTTGCCTTCTGTCGAGTACAGTCTCTGAGAAGTCATGTAATATGACTTCTTGGCGTGGTTCCGTGATGTGGAAGCTTATGCAGCATGGCTAGTTTGAACCGATTCGTGGGTTTGACTTGCTGTGTCAGAGCAGTTACTTAATCAGCGTTTGGGAGCTGAAGTGATGTGCTTGGAACAGCGAGCATATCAAGTTCACAGTCGCAAGCATCATCTACGATTGCTCCCCGTCTCCTTTTAGACTTTCAGTCAAATAGCCAGAGAAATTATCAATGATTGACTACAATCATTGCTGGTTTCCAGAACCTTTCTGAGTCGGGTGATGAAGCACCCATCCCCTGATGGAGAATGCCATACAGGTAGTTGGTATTGATAAAGATACATCACCAAAACCTAGCTTACATTAAACACGAAAAAGTATCGGAAAGAGCAAAACATCTCCATGACACGCATATCATTCATTCCATATCATTAAATAATTCTTGAAGGGCAGTAAGGAGGCAGGCAGCTGTCTGCCTGCGGTTACTTCGCGATAGGCACGATTAGAAACAGCAGTTCAAACACATTTAGTCCGCGCTCATCAAACGCCAACGTGAATATGTGCGAATATGCGAGCTCTTTTCAGTAACGGGTGAAATGATCATGTTTCTTTATTTTTCTGCCCCAATGACGTTTGAAAACATGGTTCAGTTTGGGTTAAAATACATCAAAATAAAAATCATGTCGGTATTTGAAAGACACAGCTATAGGTGGCATTTCCTCCGGACAGTGTTTCCTTATTTTGTATCAGACGTCTTGCGCATGACAATAACGAAAGAAGGTAACGTTTTTTTCCGGTGAATGTTTCTGCTGGCGTCACAAAAGCACAGCACTGACCGTGCCATCGTCCAATATCCTTAGAAACGCCACTTAATCTAAAGCCACTTGATCTAACGCCACTTACTACTAACTACTACTACTACTACTACTTACTACTACTAACTTACTACTACTAACTAACTACTACTAACTTAACGCCACTTAATCTAAAATCACACAGGCATCAGAAACGCTGTCAAATGCTCAATGTAGCTTATTTTGACAATGGATCAACGGTCAAGTCATGCATATATAACATAGGAAGCCGACAATTTCGCGCGGCTATTTGTGAACTTGCAGCCGCATCTCAAACTTGGCACAGTTGTTTTCTCTTGCGTGGAACAGTTATCGGTTTGACTCAAAGGAATGGCACAGCCAGCTAGATACCATATTAGGTTACGTCAGCACTGACCGAACGTGCTAGTTCTTCGTTATGCTCGCGTTTGAAATGGTTATAAGCAAATAAGGCGGTGCGGTCTGCAGATCAGACCATGATAGTCAACCTTCTAGAACTGATAAGTTTTTAAAGTTTGCCTTCACTTTGCCCGGTGTGATCTTCTCTGACCTCATTTCAAACTTGATCGCAGGGACAATTGATGGCTACTTCTCTGATGTGGAGAGCTTTCGTCTGACCCCTGTTGCAAGTCTCTGTTTACAACCACTGGACGCGGATTACGGCAAAGCGGACTCTTATAGCCGTAACGCAAGCCATGAAATAGCCCGCACCGCAGCTGCACGTCAGTTACAACCACGCCTCGTGCATCCCGCTGGTTGCGTGCTGACATGATTCATACTAGCGGCAGCAAATCATCACAAAGTCTATTCCGGTAAGTTCATTAGCACGTGAGGCACCCACCGTCAGATGGCTGAGGCTTCGGCAAAATTATATTCTCCTTAGAGTGGCGAACGATGGAGAAGTACTCCTTCCTCGGCTTTTTTCTCGAGCAGCACTGTCCCATGCTTCCTTCACTTGCGGTGAACCTAGAACACGAGACAGAGACGCTCGATGAACGATCACAAGCCACGTCGCACCCGTCCTGTAATGATCACAACCCATGTCGCACCCGTCCTGTAATATGCCCAAGTTTATATCATATGTTTGTTTTTGTTTCTCAGATGTGCCTATCGTGGTTCGGAGCATTGACAATGGATATGTTATGTTTGTCAAGTATGCTTGTGATGACAAGGCGACTGTTTTTTCATGAGGGAGTGGGTGAGGGTAAGATCTTTTCTTGCACCAGCAGGCCCAGCGCGACACCAGCAGGCCCAGCGCGGCACCAGCAGGCTCAGCGCGGCACCAGCAGGACGATTTGATACAGTTGTGCTCACATTTCACTGAACATTGGTGCGACGGGTAATCTAGTGCGTAAAAGCCATCTGGCACAATGCCAGATCCCTCTGACTTATGGATCAAAAGATGTGCCAGGGACGTCTTCAGAACTGGAGTTGACATTGGTGTGTTCATTTGCGCCGTAGCACCCGTTACAACGCACATAATATTATCGACGTGTACTTTTTAGAGACCACAGAGAGTCGTACAATAAAACCAAAAGAAGAGAAGTCATCCAGGTAAAATTATAAAAAGTGGCCTTGTAACCTAGGCCAAAGGTCATCGTTTCAACATCGAATAACGTCCGTTGTTAGCATTTTATTCAACACCTTCCGCGTGCTGTTGCTTCTCATGACTTAAAACGTGATCATTTTTCATTCATTTTGTGCATTTCGATGTCACTGCAATGGGACGATTGTCTACCGACTGTCCTTCGGCTACAATGCATTGCTATTTGTTCAGATTTGCTTACAAATTGGTATCAGGGGTCAGTTGTGCAATCCATCTAGCAAATAATCACTTAGTGATACGTCAAAACATCCTTACACATGCTAATGTTGCTTGAGAGGTGCTAGATTATGTCACGCATCCCTTCTCCCCAAGGAAAGCAATTTCAAGCTATATTCCATTCATATTTCTTTGTCATGAGGCGATAGATAGGGGAGAGAGCAGGTTGTTGATTTTAAGATGGTAAAATTGTCTAAATCATGGATTTCATTGTATACTTGAAATCGTTTGTTTGTAATCGCTTGTATGCACGTATGGTGCGCTATGCGTGATGTCTGTCTACTGAAATTCACTTGCATGCGTACGTATATATCGCGTACTCTAATTACTGGCTAGATATGCGCTGTCCCGTAGTAGTGGCTTTCTGTTGCTTCTTGTTTTATCATCCCCTGAACGCCTATATAGTGACCTATAAAAAGTGTGGCTCGCTGTTAAAAAAAAACAAACAGAAAAATCGGTTACGATCGGCAGGTAATTTTGAATTTGCTACCGATGTTCGTTTTGATAAAGGCATGTAGCCGAAATATCACCTATTCTACGAAGAATAAGGTTATTAGTACTGTCTGATTTCTGTGCATGATGTTTCACATAGATAAGACAGCAGTGATAGCCTTGTTCCTCAGGAAAAAAAGAAAATGAAGATATAGATGCGTTGATATTTCGGCAACATGCCTTTATCAAAACGAATAGCGGAAGTGAATTTGCTTCTACTATTCATTTCGATAAAGACATGTTGCCGAAACATCAACGCATCTCTATCTTCATTCTCCTAGTTTTCCTCCGAGGAATAAGGTTCTCATTACTGTCTTATTTATGTGAATAATGTTTCTCGCAAATGCACTTAACAGCTTGCATGACGTTTCTCGTAAACGCACTTAATAACTTTCGTAACGGTGTTATGCATTCAGCGTTTCGGCGCCAACAAAAATACACGAAATGCTACCAAACAGGATATTTTTGCATTGAGAATTGAACTAAATACTACCGCCAAGTGATCGCGTCAATTCAGATGAATAAACTCATCGAGCTAAGACAGTGGGTGCCATGCTACCTTCACATAGATTGGCAAACGGCAAAAGCGTACCCATACGAGCACGTTAGGTTTTACCAAAGACCTGCAAATATCCGAGGCACACTCACAAAAACTAGTGATCTCATCCCTCACCCAGCATCTTGAAAATTATCCCCGGATTCCGAGTCACAACTTGCCAATCGTCGCTGGTGGTCTTTGGTCAGTTTCCCTTTTCTAGATGTAGCAAATCGGTAGTGCTTCTTAATGACTGAGCTTGTTTTAAGTGTAGCGAACCGCACAGTGAGTTTCTCAGCCACGGTCGTGGCCTGTGATTTTTCGATGACAACTAGCCATGTATTAATGACATTTCAGCACGCAAAATTCGTACATGTCCCTGACCGGAAGACTGTGACCCGCAACACTCCGACAGTACGGGCCAGGCACTCTCGAAACGCGGCTCGCTTCATCCTCCTCTCCCCCAATGCCATCAAATGCCGTTTTGCCATGAGATGGACCGAAAAAATACAATCGTCATGCGTTCCAAAATCCGCGTGATCATGTGTAAGATTACCATGTGCTCGAATGAGTGAGTCAATTTACCCACACCCGGAGGGTTTTTCAAGAATAAATTTGGAATCGTGACGTATATCCGCCCAATTTTCTTTACCTGTCACCAGTTTAATAACCGATCTATTGATATACAAGCTAGACATGCCTCGTCAGGTCGCTGACTTACAGTAAGCCAAAGCCAGGCTATTGCTGTCGGCAAAGACAATGCGTAAGGAATCGCTTGATATGATAATTACCATGACAATTCCATGCGCAATTACGATTTATTCAGTTAGCCCTGGGTCAGGTGTGAGGACCGGATCAAGGTCAACACCAGACCGCCTCATTAATGGAACAACTTGCTTAATGGTACTGCGGACACCAATTTGGAGTTTGAGCTTGTTGGTCGTATTTACCCCAACTTTTACAACCTAGGGATATCAAAGTTTGACGCAAAAGAGTTCACATGGAGCCGTATCTGGGCTGTGAGTTTGGTGTCTTAAGCCCTCTCGATTTCTATGTCTTGGGAGCTCAAATTGACCTGCCTTCCGAGACCCTCGCATTTGATTCGCCGACCCGTCTCGTGGAAATAAAGTTCATTTCTTATATCGTCCCAGGCAAATGTTTACCATCAGGCAAATGTTTCATTTTTCCACAAGGGACAATCACCCGCATGTTTTTTTTAGGAAATGTGTCACAAACACGTACACAACTACGTGTGGTTGGCACAATCCGACAGCAAGTAAGAACTTTGGTGTTTGCCGTTCCATCTCCACGAAGCCATTGGGTCATGAGTGGGTCAGTCATGCGCTAGGCTCTATCCCAGTGTCACCAATGAACGGGATCTCGCAGAGCGTGGGAATGATTTCCGGCAAGATCGCTGATGACCACAGGTTCGTGAAGTATGATGGACGCCTTTGCTTCCGAAAACAACCGCGTTTGTTTCAAAACTGCATCATGACGACGAGGAGTTTTACTATGAGTCTCCCCGTCGCTACAAAATCGTCGGCATGTTCAGACACCTCCAACAAAATGAGTAGCAGTCTGTAGACACCTATTGGCTGTACCAAGGAATAGTGATGGTATTGTGAGTAATTCCTTTCTGCCACAACACTCAGAACATACGCACTGTTGAGGCAAGCCCCAACAACTTTTTCAAACAATATTTGCAACCCGTTAGCTATGATATTGTAGCCGGCCACCCTGATTTGTACTGCTTCTCACGATAACACACTCGCGCAGTACACCAGTCAGCTGATTCACGTCACCTGCCTGTGGTCAGGCTGCCCTGAGCCGCGCTGAGGCCGGTGCACGCGCACCCCACCGGCGCTGAACCCCCCGGTGTACGATGATGGCGATGACGAGGGTCGCGCGTAACCGGCAGCCGAGGCTCGTTGTCGGAGCTGCATTGTTGCGTGCGGGATCAACCGAACTTAATTTTTCGTAACGTTCATGCACATTTTGTATCTTTAGTAGTGCTACGGCACTCAGGACGTATCAACGTTAAGTCAAGCGCTACGAATAGCCTAGCGCTCTATAAAAATCGTGACTCGTAGGCCAGACAGAGCGGATATTGTCCTATTGGATTTAAGGCGTCAGAGGACTCCTAGCACCACGATGTAAAGGGAGTTGAGGGATTATCAATGCATTAGATAGAACGACATGTCAGTTAGTCGAGACAAACGTCCCATTTCGGTGGCGTCCGAATGCCAAAATGAATGAAACTGGCCATGTTTTGAGCCGCGGTGAGGCTGTTACGACGCTCGTACCCTTGTATATAATTTTTGGTTGGGAGAGGCAACATAATGCAGGTGTTATTTGAAGTAAGAACGGATGTTGTGAGAAGCGCAAACGATGGTGTTTGACCGAGATCGCGGGGCCACTTTTTAAAATTGACCCAGGTGTATTTCTTTCAATCAAAATGCACGCATATTTGCCAAATGTTGAAAATATATAGGTTGATAATATTCTTAGCATCATTATGGGTACTTCGGCTCTAAGAGCATACCAATGTTAATGCCAGCTACAGAAAAACCTCGGACATACCTCGTGACTCATAAGTCAAAATGACCTGATTTCGTGCAGACGTGGATTTTACGCATCAGGTAATCTTAGTACCAATTTTTAGTGAAATCTCAGACGTGACAATATCAGTCGTGCCACGCTGGGTTGCAGACCACACCAGTCGTGGTGGGATGGCTACCCGTACACCACATCACTCTCGTGGCTGATTTGTCTCGAGCAAACTGCTCACAAATATGTTAGGGACATAAACAGCCGTGCCAATAGAGTGGACTGACAAACAGGCTCATGCTCTGATTCCTCGATATAGGTCGTATCAGTCGCGGTCGGACAGTTCTTTGTCATGCTCTCCATCGGTCCGTGCTGAGGTATCCCCTGGTATGCGCCGGGAAGGCTCTGCCGCCTCATCACGGCAAGTGGACTCTGTTAACTGGAGCTGCTCCATCAGCAGTTGGGCATCATATTTCGGTCTCTTGCTGCCCCTGTTCCATTTGAGCTGTGTGTTGTTCGGAGCTGGGCACCAGCGGCCCCGGCCATCATGGGTCGTGTTGACAATGGACCCCCTGACGGAGCGGCGGCCCATTGCCGACGGCCAGCAGCTACTATCGTTGGAGCTTTCCGTCGCATTCAACTGCTGAGGTGACGTGAAGTCGTCTGCTTCTCACCCTGGCAGGAAGAGCGAGCACAGCCGGGAATCGAACCCCGTGCCTCCGGCTTCCGGGACGCGCGGCTTAACCACTATCCACTATCAGCGCCCGGCCAACAGACATTGAAGTGACCTTGTACCGTATGCACTGCAGCCCGCCGAACCAGTCTGTCCAGCGCACGTGTCCCCTACACGCCTGCTGCACTCGGCCAGCCGTGCCAGCCGAGCCGGGCCGGGCCGGGTCTAATCGGACCCTGTCCCGCAGTCCACCCCAGACCACCTCAACAATATTCTGTGTACGGCGTAAATCACTAGTGCGGTCGTTAGCGTCATAATCTATCACGTTGGTTGCAGCGTGCTAGCCTAAACATCGCTGGCGGCCAGGAACGCACGCGTCATTGCTCGGTCATGGGACTGGCACACCACCGCTCAGATGCGATGTTCTGCCAGGTACCAAGCGTCTGTCGGCCACGTCCATGGTTTTTGTCTATTAACATAGCTCTACGACTCAGCTCCTAAGTATACGGTTAACTTCACGTAATTTCATGCGGACAGAGCATGCATGGCGACGCTGCAGACCCGCACGCAGTAGCCTGACGGACGCTGACTTCGGTCTGCGCTGTGGTAAAGCGTGACCCTCGACTTCTCATCACCCATCATACGCTAGTGCAAGTCAATAAGTCCTGGCTGGCCCAAAGCCGGACCGAGCCAGTTATATCACCCCGAGCCATCAGCTGCCACCTGCAGCAGGCGCTGCATCGTCTGGAGTCGGCTGAGGGTGGGCTGGGGGTGGGTGTGGGGCCGGAGCTAGGCTGGAGGCTCACCTGGGGCCCGGCCGGCGCCAAGGGTCGGTCGGCCGTCGCTTCTCGCCGTGCAGTGCTGCCGGGACGCGGTGTGCAGACGGACTGGGGAGGGGAGAGCGGCGGCACCACCAGCCGCTGCCAGGTGTGGGCGGCGCCCCAGCCCGCCCCGGCATCAGCTGACTCCGGCGCCGGCGGCCGTCGTCCGGCTCCGAGTCAGCTGATTTAATGTGATTGTGTTGGTTTGTTTTACGTTGCCTGTAACTGATGTGGCCAATAGCGTCGCAGATCAGCACGACAGGCGTGGCGAAGAAATTAAAGAACAGCTGGCAGTTAGTCCCGAACCTGCGAGCCCGTGGTTGGAAGTCAAGGATGTCCGGATTGCATATCCCTTGGTCGACAAATTTCGGCAATGTTCGAGACTGGCCTTCCTGCCAGCCTCGCCAGCCTTTTGTATTGTTTACATGGTCCAACCAAACGTCGCTAACCCAAGTACAACAAGCGCTGGTGACTAGTTCCAAGATAACATCGAAAACCTTCGTGCTGACTGTACCCTGCGAACTGAAACACAACCAGTAAGTATTACGCCGTCGGATGCTCACCGCCTTTCGATCACAAGATTCTTGTACTACAACTGAGGCGCAATGCCGTGGTCGTCGCCAATCGTGACGCGGCCTCCCCTGTATACGCCCCGTCCTGTCCGTCAGCTGACCTCAGCGGTGTCCCCTCTATACGCCCCGTCCTGTCCGTCAGCTGACCTCAGCGGCCTCCCCTGCATACGCCCCGTCCTGTCCGTCAGCTGACCTCAGCGGCGTCCCCTGTATACGCCCCGTCCTGGCCGCCAGCTGACCTCAGCGGCCTCCCCTGTATACGCCCCGTCCTGTCCGTCAGCTGACCTCAGCGGCGTCCCCTGTATACGCCCCGTCCTGTCCGTCAGCTGACCTCAGCGGCGTCCCCTGTATACGCCCCGTCCTGTCCGTCAGCTGACCTCAGCGGCGTCCCCTGTATACGCCCCGTCCTGTCCGTCAGCTGACCTCAGCAGCGCCCCCTGCATACGCCCCGTCCTGTTCGTCAGCTGACCTCAGCGGCGTCCCCTGTATACGCCCCGTCCTGGCCGCCAGCTGACCTCAGCGGCCTCCCCTGCATACGCCCCGTCCTGTCCGTCAGCTGATCTCAGCGGCGTCCCCTGTATACGCCCCGTCCTGTCCGTCAGCTGACCTCAGCGGCGTCCCCTGCACACGCCCCGTCCTGTCCGTCAGCTGACATCAGCGGCTCCTATCGTGAGGCACCTGCCACCCACACTCCCGCGCGGCCTCGGTCGAACGCGAGGTCACCGAGTGTTAGTTGCGTGTGGGAAGCGCGTGGGTGGGTATCTCTGTTTTCTCTCTGCTCGCTCTCGAGCGAATGGCGCATGGGGTCTGCTGCGGTGCCCGGTGCATTCATGCCAAGTCTATGGGACATGGAGCCTGCTGCGGTGCCCGGTGCATTCATGTCTAGTCTATGGGACATGGGCTCAGCAGCTCAGAGTTGTTTCATGCTCTCCACATACAGTGGCATTCTGTTTCTTGCGTGCATTTAGGTATAAGTTAGGAATGTCCTCCCGTATGTTTTTTTTTTTTGTTTGTTCAGGAAGGCCCGATGCGAGGGAGCTTGGATGCATCATTCCTTTTTTTCTTAATTCAGGTCTGTTTTTTATTAGTAACTTACACTTAAATACCCTCGTATCAAAGCTTCAAATCTTTAAGATGCATTATACCTTGGCTCTCAGACATATTTACGTAAAATGTGCTCGAGGCGTGCCTGTTTACTTTTCTGGCATGGTTAGAAAGTGTGGCTTACACAGAAAGAGGTCCACAGGCATCTAAACAGGCCACGCGTATATTTTGCCTCTTCAATGCATTCTTTCCAGTAGCCTAAATGTACCCCTGAAACTGCAACACATACAGCAATGCGCCGTAAGCTACCCATATTTTGTTCAAAATATTGACGTTCTAGAACTAAGTCCTGACATTACGCTCATCACCAATCGAGATGTCGCGTCTGTTGCAAACATTGGTAATTCAAGTAACTAATTCCAAAAGGAAGCTGATGACCAACCGGCTTCACGACTGATGATCTGATAATCTAATTCTGATCTGATCTAACTCGTACGCTGAATTGAGCGCAGACTGGTGGTCAGCGCATCTGGCACGGGGTCGTGAGGTGCTGCTTAGATCGACTGCCGCTGCCACCAAGGCTTCTTCTGACGCATGCTCGCGTTAGCATGTTGGCTGCCGATGTTCAGGAGTTCAGGAGGAACTGCACTGAGAAGGATGCACTCAATATTTTAGTAAATACCCGAAGCTGCCTGTCTGCCTAGTGCCTCCCCTGCTGCTCAATGGCCTCGCTCTGAAGGGTTCTGTCTAGCCATGGAGGGGCCACTTGGCCCCCATGCAGTCCTCCAGCCGCTGTTATTTCTCCCTGCCTACTAAACGTCCCCACTGATCTAGCTCTCAAAATCAGCTGGCCATAACTGAAGTCATGGCTAGAGATCCCGTGCTGAGGGGAGGGGGAGAGGGCGTCCATTTTCCCTGACCCCACAAAGCGTGAAACCTGGGGTTTTGTGGACAGCTGTTTTTGTTGAGTGCAGCGCGAAGAAAAATGGCCGTGCTGAGAGAGGAGAGCCATCCTCCGCCTGCTTGATCGGTCATAGTGAGTCACACTGAGGCCCCTGTTATTGAGAAGCGAGCCTCAATGGCCGTGCTGAGAGAGGAGAGCCATCCTCCGCCTGCCTGATAGGTCATAGTGAGCCACCCTGAGGCCCCTGTTATTGAAAAGCGGGCCTCAACTGACTACCGTGGGCACTTTGGCCGCTCTGGCGGCTTGAAAGCTACTTGGAGTCCTTCTGAACTTATAACCTCGGCTTTGCACAGACCCTCTTTGATCACTTTATCACAGTGGTTGAGATGCACGCGGGCGAAACCAGAGTCACGGGTTTCTACTCTCCTCGGTGTCCGCCCTTCCTGCCAGGGTAAAAGCGGGGTGATGCCACATAGCCTCAGCAGCCGCGTGCGTTGTAAAGCCCCAATGGCAACAACTGTCCACGGGTCGCACTGACCTCTCGACCTTCTGTGTACTTAGGGCCCCTCTGGCCGCTTAAGGGCCGTCTTAACTCATCAGGGGCCTTCTGGCGCTGAACGGCCCCCTGTGACCACTGAGGGGCCTCTGGTGGGTGGGCCCCTCTTTGGCCCGTTAGGGACTTAAACTGGTCACTCAGACCCCCTGGTCACGAAGAGAAACCTCTAATCGCTCGTGGGCTATTCTGACCATCGTAGTGTCCATTTGGTTGCCAATGACCCGCTCAGCGACCCGTTTGGTGGTCAGAGCATATGCATATTTCTTCACGACCCTTTGTGCACTTGTTTACGATGAGGGAGGGGAAGGGGTGTCGAGAGGTCAATTCCACCACCCAAACGTTATTTTGGCCGCTCGTGAGCTCCTCAGGCCGCTCAAGAACTGTCTTGACGCCAGGGCTCCCATGGAGCGCCTAAAGTTCCCTTGTCTGCTCCGTGCCCCTCTGGCCACCGAAGGGCCTTTTAGCTGCTCAGGGGCTTGCCAGGCTAATGGACACCCAGAGATACTGAAGGCCGCCCTGAGTACTGAGGAGGGCCCCGAACAATGAAAACACTTCTGGGTTCTCGGGTACTTGCGTACGGTACGCTCGGGTCCTGTAAGGCGCTCAGAGCCCTTTACATTCGCGTGACCCTCTGGAAGCTCGTGGTCCTTTCAGCTACCCAAGGCCCTTTTTCCCGTTTCAAGGCCACCTGATTACCAAGGGACGCCCAAGCTGCTCTCAAAAGCGATTTTATGTTATGCTTGTCTTTATCGACTTGTGAAAGAGTCCCCCGCCTGCATGCAAGTGTGGCGAGAAGCTGGAGTTCCGGATCGACCAGTAAAATCCAAGTTCAGTTAGATAGCGCTCTTGTTATGGACCTCCTTGGAACGACTAAATTTTGCCATCGACGATCACATTATATTCTGAAAAGCTTGGATGGAATTTTGCTATTCAAAACGGCACTGCCGATAATCTTATCAACTTAAACCTCTGCGCAAAAACAAACGTCTTAGAAGACTGCTCAGAAGTGTAATGTATGACAATATTCAGGCATCAATTTACGTGCAGCTTCATTTGCATGAAACTGAAAGGCATCACCAGGCTATGGTTCAAAAACCGACAGACGCATAAGTTCAACCAAAACCAACAATTTCGCGTCTTCTGTGCTTTCGAACCAGCGAACGAACTGGTGTCGTCCTGCATGTAAAGGATAATAGAGACGGCTAAGATCGACCATAGTTCGTATGCATCGAGTTGAAACACATGCCCTTTAATTGTCCAAGAGGCGGAAAATACTTAAGATTGGGCCTGAAATTCTGGTACCTTCAGTTCAAGATATATCACAGTCTTCCAACGTTGGACTGCAGCCGTAAATGATTGCTCAACGTGGCAAGAATATGAAATAGCTGGCACTGTTTCTTGAAACAGTCCTGTGATGCCACCTTTCCTTGATCCCGCTGCATCCTTCCTCCAGCATGGCCCCACTATCTCTCGCCCATTATTTGCGCATCGGCTTCACACCTCGATCTGAGCCCAGCCCGGAACCTTATATGCGTTTGTTCCTTTCCATGTAGCTTAGAAGCCCAGTTTCTACCTCTTTATACCGATTGCTGGCGTGCGGCGAGAGGCGCCCACCAGGCCACACTTGTCGCGCCGGTCTTGGAGCATGATGAAGGTAAGGTGGAGGGTGTGATGCAGTGGCGCAGCCAGGAACTCACCCAGGAGGGGGCCAAATTGAAATGGAGGGGCCCTCGTAGCCAACAGGGGCCCACATTATTAAAACAGTTTGGTGTTTTGTACGTGTACTGTGCAAATTAGAATACAGGATATAATGCGGAAGGTGGGATATTTCCTTCAAGCTACTTAATAAGTTATTTTTGCCACCTTACTCGGTATCAATGAAATATATGCATTAAACATATTGAGCACGTACTAAAATTTACATTGAGTGTATTTCGACCAGTAAGTTGACACTCATCGCTCATGGCCCTACTCCTTGT